GCACCCCTGAGTGTATATATCCCAGCCCAATGCACCCCCTCAGTTCATGTACCAACCTAGTGCACCTCTGAGTACATGTACCAGCCCAGTGCACCCCTGAGTGCATGTACCCCAGCCCAGTACACCACCATGCAGGCACCCCAGCCCAGTGCAACCCCCAAGTACAGGGCTCCGCACGCAGCACCCTCTAAGTGTGGGCACCCCCAGCTCAGTGCACTCCAAGCACAGGGCCTCCAGTCCAGCTTTGCGGGGCCAGTGGTCCCCTCTAGAGCCCCCATAGCCGCTGTGACGGGCCTGATCAGTGGCCTGTGCTGGCGCTTGTATGACAAGCTGGTCCCTGTCTGATTTGTTCCTTCTTGGGGCCGGATGGAGAAAAGAAGTTTCCAGGTAACCCCACAGGGAAGCTCCCGGGGCTGAGTGACCCTCACTGTCCACTGCAGAGATGAGGGTCAGCAAATGAGATGGAAGCCCCGAGCTGTCACCGCCGCCCCCAACCCTTACTCTCCAGGCTCTCCCCACTGACTCTGATCTCACCACCGTCCTATCCCTCACCGCCGCCCACAGGGGGCGCTCTGCCACCCATTCCCACCACTGTCTCCTCACCGGGACCTCGAACACCCACTTCCATAACCTTCCGCCCTAGAGCTCCTGTGACTAGCGCCATCTGAACCTGATGCCAGGGGACGCCCCACGGAGGGGTCAGGAGTCCTGATGTGAGGCACTACAGACACCCACACTGTCCGTTTTCAAAGCCTTAGCAGCAGCACTGCTGAACAGTCAGCTGGGGTCAGCCGCCACCCTCATCCCAGCCCCTCTCACTCACCAGGACTCTGTGTCTCCCTGTGTCTCTGTGTGTGTTTCTGTTTCTGTGTCTCTGTCTCTGTCTCTGTCTCTCTCTCTCTCACACACACACACATACATACACACACACACACACACACACACACACACACACACACACGAAGGGCAGTGCTCCCAAACTGGCCCCAAGCTCCTGTCGCCCTCTGAGCTTGAGCAGCTTATGGGGCAGGGAGGGGCAGGAAGGGAAGTTGAAGGACAGTGAGGAAAAATGAGGGGACAGTGAGGGACACTGAAGGGCAGTGAGGGGAGCGAGGGGCACTGAGCCACCCTGAGCCTCAGAGGATAAAGAGAGGGCGGTGAAGCCCAGCCCTGAGGGCCTGTTCCTGTGCTGGCCATGGCACCTGAGGGGATACTGGGCAGGGAGGGGCAGGCTGAAAGGGGTGGGCTGAGGAGGGGACGGCAGATCTGGGGCCCAGACGCAGCCCCGGTGCCAGGGTGCAGGCAAGGGGTTCAAGCGCCTGACTCCTCACCCCACCCCACCCACCCTCCCCCCCCCCCCCGCATCATGTGTCACTGGCCCGTCTGCACACAGGGTCTGACGCCGTCTCCCGGCCAAATGTCCTGTGTCCTGGCCCTTGCGGGGAGTCCAGGGTGCGGCCCCGTCTTGGTCCCAGCCTGGGGCCGCACACTGGGGCGGGGCAGCAGGAGGCTGGAGTGGGGGACCCTCAGCCCACTCTCGAGTTTGGCCACCAGCAGTGCTCAGGGGGCACCTGGATGGGAGCTGCAGAGGGGGCAGGTGTGGCCTCGCGGTGCGGCCTCAGTGGCCCTGGCTCAGGGACACCTTCAGACTGTCTCAGTGACGCCCAGGAGGCCACTCTCCCTGGGGACAGCATGGTTGCTCACCCTGGCCACTGACCTTCAAGGCCAACAGGGAGGGGCCTGTCAGCCCGGACATGCTGGACCTGAGTGAAGGAGCAAGAGGGGACGTGTGGGCGTTCGGCCGTGCCCAGCTCACTCCCAGCCCTTCCCTGAATGCTCCCTTCCAGGCTTAGGGCCGGCCCGGGCCACTCCAGCCCCCTGCACACAGTGCCCTGTGACCGCAGTGCATACCCAGGATGTCGCAAAGGGCACTTGTGGGTCCAGAAAACCAAGCCGGGATGGAGAGAACAGCGGGCCCAGAAGGAAGAACCCGGCCACCGGCCTGCACCACTTCCCCAAGGCCCAAAGAGCTGCTCGCCCTCACAGCAGCACCCTTGCGGCCCCTCACTCCCTGCACACCCTCACAGCCGCACCCCTGCACACCCTCACGCCCATGCACACCCTCAAGGCAGCACCTCTGCACACCCAAACTCCCCTGCATACCCTCATAGCCGCACCTCTGCACTCTCACACCCCTGCACACCCTCACAGTTGCACCCCTGCACACCCTCATGCCCCTGAACACCCTCACAGCTGCGCCCCTGCACACCCACACTCCCCTGTACACCTGAACAGCTAAAAACTCACACTCCCCTCCACTTCTTCAAAGCTGCACCCCTGCACCCCCACTCCCCTGCACATTCACGCAGCTGCACCCCTGCACACCAGCACCCCACACCCTTGCACTTGCTCACCTGCACACCCACATAGCTGTATGACTGCACACTCACAAACACACACCTACATCTCTGCATACTCACTCCACACCTCTTCACAGCCACCCACACAGCCCTGCAGTAGTGGGGCCCGCTATTCTTACTCAGAAATACCTGGAAGGTGAAGATCGGCCTCAGAGCGAGCCCCTGCTGCTGGGGGACCCCAGAGTCTCTCAGAGCACCCCCTGCAGCAGGACACCAGCACCGCCGCTCTTTCACAGACACAGCAAGGAGAGGAGCAGACTGAGCTTGTCAACTGCACACATGGGGCACATGCACTCAAGACACACACGGGACACAAACCCAGGATACACATGGGACACATGGGACACACATGGGGCACACACAGGACACACATGGGGCACACACAGGGTACACACAGGATACATGCAGAACACACGGGCACACATGAGGAGCACACAGAACACATACAGGGAACACGTGGGGCACACCCGGGACATACAAAGAGCACAAATGGGACATATAGGACACACATGGGACACAGGGCACACACGGAACACACACGAGACCCACACGGGACACACACAGGTTACACACAGAGTACACACAGGACATACACAAAACACATGAGGGATATACACGGGCCATGTGAGGGGCACATACAGGATATACAGGGGCATGCAAAGAACACATGCAGGGCACACATGGGACACATGAGGGGCATACGAAGAACACACGAGCACACGCGGGGCACAAGCAGGACACACGTGGAGCACACAAGGGCCACATGCAGGACACAGAGGAGCACAAGAGGACCCATGAGGGCACAAGAGGGGCACATTCAGGACAGACGGTACACACACGGGACGGCCATGGTGTGTTTGTGGGATACACACACATACACGGGACATGCGTGAACATGGTGGCACACATACAGGACAATTGGCACAGACTTGGCCAGCCCAGCAGGCCCTGCAGTGTGCAACCTATGTTCGGGCCCCTCAGTCCTCTCCTGTGCAGAGCCCCCTGTCCATGGGGGTCCTGGCCCCACCTGCACCAGGACCCGCCTTCTCACCCCTGGGATGGATGATGAGAACCACAGCACAGTGCAGGGAAACCGAGGCCCCTTGGCATGGAGTGATGCTCAGGGACTCACGCGTCTGTCTCCAGCACCAGTGAGCAGCCACCATGGACTGACCCAGGGGCACCGGCCGAGTGGCCCGCACCACCCCCCAGTTCCCAGCATCCGTGTCCGAGCACACTCCAGGCCTAGGACCAAGACCGTGCCCGTCCCCACGGCTCCAGGCCTCACTGCTGCAGCCACTCACACGTCACATACCCCAGGGAGCCTCCACAGAGCAGCTCCATGACTCTGACCCTCGGGAGCCATCACTCACCCCCCGGCTTTAGTGCCGGACAGGCCACTGCAGTTCAAGTCACTGGACACAAGGACAAAGTATGTCTCTTACTGAAACACAGACCCTTCTTGACTCAGCTCAGCCCAAAAGTTTGGTTGAAACGATCGTTGTACATAGACAGTCGACAGGTTGGTGAAACATGTTTGTCATCACTAGCATCAGGGAAATGCAAATCAGAGCCACGAGCTCTCACCTCACTCCCGAGACTGGCACTTACCACAGAGAACAGCAGCCAGTGCTGGTGCAGAGAAGGGGAGAGGGGCCCTCTCCACTGCTGCTGGGAATGCTGACTGATTCAACCCATTAGTTCCCAAAAAAACTAAGAACTGAGCTGCCATATTACCCAGAATTCCACCTTTGGACATCTGCCCCAGAGCCCAGTGTTGACTCAGAAGAGGCACCCTCACCCCGATGTCCACTGCAGCACTACCCACAATAGCCCAGATCTGGAGACAGCCCAAGCGTGTGAGGACAGATGACTGCATAAAGCTGTGGCACACGCACAGTGGAATGCTACTTGGCTGCCAGAAAAAAAAATGGAGCACTTTGCTGCTACATGAAGGATCCAGCAGCTGGAGGGAATCAAGCCGAGTGAACTCAAGAGGGACAGACAGAATGAGCTCTCATACATGGGCTATAAAGAAGCAGAGTGAAGGGGGTAGAGTGACATCACAGTGGGTAGGGCGTTTGCCTTGCACGTGACCAACACAGGTTCGATTCCCGGCATCCCATAGGCCCCTGAGCACCTCCAGGAGTAATTCCTGAGTGCAGAGTCGGGAGTAGCCCCTGGGCATCACTGGTGTGACCCAAAAAGCCAAAAAATAAAAACAAAATAATAAATAATAAAAGATTTTTTAAAAAGAGGCATAGTGCAGGAGTAACAACAGCCAAAGGCAACAGAAACTGAGAACGATCCACTGATCTGGGGTCACCTGATTGCATGGTGGGGGTGGGGGTGGGGCATGGGGGGAGGCAAGTGCTGGGGGAACAGTCTGGGGGAGGGCTGCAGTTGTAATGTCATGTCCAGGGAAGCCTGTTAACCACGGTGCCTCAGATTAAGTTAAAAAAGCAAAGACCGTCAGGTGCTGGAGGTGAGTCAGAGACCAGTCTGACCCCATCCCTGCCCACCACACCCCCACCCCACACCCCGTTCTGCAGGGAATGCCCCTGTGGTCACTGCACTCACCTTGGAGCTGGCGGCCCTTGTACAGATCCCGCGTCTTGGCTGGGTTTGCCCGAGCTGTGTGGTCACACTTGGGCTGCTCATACCTGCAACAGCACAGAGGGTCACGCCCTGCTCGTGTCTGCCCTCCTCGGCCACCAGCAAGCCCCACACCCTCGGGCTACAGGGGTGGCCTATGCCCAGGTGGCAGCCCAGCTCTGGGTCCCGCAGCGCTGGTAAATCAAGGAGTTTCCCAAAGGTAGCCCAGCATCTGCCTTCCCATACTCTGACCCTGGTCCCTCCTTTCCCAGTATGTGCCCAGGAGGCCACTCCTGGGTCCTACACCAGGGTGGCTGTGCACCCCTTCAGAGCAGGACTCGGACCCTACACCCCGAATCTAGGGGCTCTCAGCTGGCTCTGTGTGCACCTGTTGGCTCTGTGTAGCTGTTGTCCGTGTGTGCCTGTTGGCTCTGTGTGTGTATCAGTTGGCTCACCTCATCTGCATGTGCCTGTTGGCTGTGTGTATCTGTTGTTCAGGTGCACCTGTTGGCTTTGTGTGCACCTATTGGCACCGTGTGAGCCTGTTGGCTGTGTGTGTGCCTGTCAGCTGTGTGGTGCACCTGTTGGCACTATGTGAGCCTGTTGGGTGGTGTGCACCTGTCCGCTGTGTGTGTGTGCCTGTTGGTGTTACGTGCCCTCTTTGGAGAATCTGCAAATCTGCCCAGGTTGAAGTGGCCATTGTGTTGCCATTGTTAAATGGATTTGGGGTGCTGCATGGTGTGCCCTGCCTGGGTGTTTGGCCCCACACAGGGTGCCTGCCCACTCAGTAGCCGTCTTTCCTGGCATTTTCATTTAAAAAACAAAAACCTTTTTTTGGAAAAAAAATTTCCAATTGAATCACCATGAAATACACAATTACAAAGTTGTTGATGATTGGGTTTCAGTCACACAAAGTTCAAACACCCGCTCCTTCATCAGTGCACATTTCCTGCCACCAAGGTTCCCAGTTTCCCTCCCACCCACCAGCCTGCAGACGCTTCTCTTCTCTCCCTCTTTTCCCTTTATTTCCTTTTAGGTACTGTGGCTTGCAATACCGTTACTGAGAGGTATCATGTATATCACTTTTTTACCTGCTTTCAGCAACAGCCCATGGAATGGAAAAAGTTATTTACCTAACACTCATCTGATAAAGGCTTAATATCCAAGATATAGAGGCACTGGTAGAACTTCACAAGAAAAAAAATCAACCCTATCAAAAAATGAGGAGAAGAGATAAACAGAAACTTCCTCAAATAAGCACAAATGGCCAAAAGGCACATGGAAAAAAATGGTTTATATCACTAATCATCAGGGAAGCACAAATCAAAACAACAATGAAGTCAGATCTCACACCACAGAGACTGGCACACATCAAAAAGAACAAAAACAACCAGTGCTGGCACAGGTGTCAGAAAAGGACTCTCATTCATTTTTGTGGAATGTTGACTGGTTCAGTCTTTTTGGAAAACAATATGGACGTTTCTCAAAAAACTAGAAATTGAGCTCCCGTACAACCCAGCAATAGGACTCAGGAATACACCATAGTGACCAAAAAGTCCACAGCAGAAAACCCATCTGCACCCTGTTCATTGTGGCACTATTCACAACAGCCAGAACCTGGAAACCACCCAGGCGCCTGAGAACAGACGACTGGATAAAGAAACTATGGTAGATCTACAACAATCAAACACCATGCAGCTGTTAGGGGACAATGAAAGAATGGTCTTTTCTTTTCCTGAGAATATTTTCAGCTTGATATCATCCCAGTCATTCGCTTTAACTGTCCATGGGACTAAATCTCCAAAAGATCTCTCAAAAACTGATGTTATGGAGTGTTTCCCCAATGTGACCTTCTTATGCATTTTTGGGTGTGAGTCTGAGTCTGCTAGGTGGGTGTTTCATCCCTCTCTGCATGTGGAGTCCAAGACTGATCCAACTCCTCCCTGCAGGCTTCCAGCTTTCCCTTCTGTGAGATTTTTTCCATTTGCCCTTGGACCAGGGACCCCTACACAAAATGTCCTACAAAATATGTTTTCGAGTGTGAGGGGTTATCTCTATGCTTTGGGTTCTGTTTCACTGATCTGTGTGCCAGGATTTATTCCAGTGGGCTGTTCTTTGTATTGTGTCCCTTGAAAATATAGTGTATATTCACCACAGCCAGAATGTGGAAACAACCTGAGTGTCCAAGAACAGATGGATGGATAAAGAAGTGATGGCACAATCACACGATGGAATACTATGCAGCTTTCAGGAAAAATGAAGTCGTGAAATTTGCCCATAAATGGATGAAAATGGAGAGTATCATGCTGAGTGAAGTGAGTCAGAAGGAGAGGGACAGATATAGAATGACTGCATTCATTTGTGGCATATAAAAATATGTACAGTAGAAGAATAATATCCATGGCCGGGGTAAACAGGGGTTGGGAGGACTGGTCAATGGTTGGAACTAACCACAAGTATGTGTGGGACTGAGGGTAGGTAAGACAGAGAAGAGACAAGTATGACAATAATAGTAGGGGATGATCATGCTGGACAGGATCTGAGGGTTAGAAGTAGGTAAGGGATATTCTTGATAACCTTTCGGTATCAATATTGCAAACCACAATGCCCAAAAGGAGAGAGAAGAGAGAGAACGAGAGAGAGAGAGAGAGAGAGAAGAAAAGTACCTGCCATAGAGGCAGGCAGGGGCTGGGAGGGAACCTGAGGACACTGGTGCTGGGAAATGTGCACTGGCGGAGGGATGGGTGTTGGAACGCTGTACGACTGAAATCTAATTATGAGCAGCTTTGTAATGGTCTATCCCACAGCGATTCAAAAAAAAGTTATATATATATATATGTATATATATATATATAGTGGGGCTGGAGTGATAGCACAGCGGGGAGGGCATCTGCCTTGCATGCGGCCTGACTCGAGTTTGATTCCCAGCATCCCATATGGTCCCCCGAGCACGGCCAGGAGTAATTCCTGAGTGCATGAACCAGGAGTAACCCCTGTGCATCGCTGGGTGTGACCCAAAAAGCAAAAATTAAAAAAATAATAATATATATAGTCTGGAGTTAAATTATATTCCTTTATTTTTCTTATTTTCCTCAAAATTCCTTTAGCAATATAGAGCCTTTTTTAGTTCAATAATTTGGTATTTTTGTTCTACTTCCTCAAAGTGTAATTGGGATTCTGATATTTTCACTGACTCTGCATACTGCTTTTGGTAAGAGGGATATTACTTCCGTAATTGGTCTTGAGATGGCAGTGCTGTTAACGCTACTGACCCTCCTTACCCACGAACGTGGGTCTCCTTCCCGTCTCTGTGCCTTGTTCTTTCTTCTTTAACAATGCCTTATGTTTGTGTCATATGAAGTTTTGCTTCCCCTGTTAAATTTATTCTGGTGTATTTAAACTCTTTTTGGCATAATTGAAGTGGAACTGTTTTCCTAAATTTCCTTCTCATTCTTGGTTTGCACGCAGAAATGCAATGACAAACAATGAATGCAACAAATCTTTATATGATAACTCGTAGTTGACATAATACTGGGCTCATATATTAATGCTGTTTTTGTGGTTTATATATATTATCATATCGTCTAAAAATAACACTAGTTTCTCTTCTTTTCCAGTCTGGATTTCTTTCATTTCTTGTTGTCTAATTTTCTGGCTGAAACCTATAATACTATGTTAAACAGAAAAGGCAAGAATAGAAACTCTTGTCTTGAGTTTTTAACCTGTGAGGGTGATTTTTTCACTCTGGGTTTTGTATGTGGTCTTTATGATATGAGACACAATAATCCTATTCCTGCTTCTTGAGTCTTTTTTCCACACAGGTGCTGAGTCTAATCAAGAGTCTGAAAAGAAACAGTCCTTTGAAAATCTGACCAAATTCACTAGTAAAGCCAGCCAGTCTGGAGCCTTTGTTTTGGGATGGCTGTGGTTTTTATTCTGGGGTTGTGCCTTCAGGCTCCATCCTTGCATCTGTCTATTTTATATTTCCTCCTGGTTAATTTTTGTTAAGCTATGTTTTTATATAAATTACCCATTTCTTCCAGATGATCAAATTGCTGGCATATAGTAGTTCATAGTCTCTTGTTATCCTTCATATTCCTACAGTATCTTGGGATTTCTTTTCTCTCATTTTTTGGTTAGTTTTCTCGTTTTTTGTAAGCTAAAAGTTAATTCATTTTGTTTGTCTTCCTGAAGAAATAACCTTTACTTTCATTAATCTTTTGTGCTGCTCTTCTGGTTTCCACTTCGCTTCTTTTTGCAGATTATTTTAGTATTTCTTTCCTTATTCTGGCTTTTCACTTTGTTCTCTCTGAGTTGCTTCTGAAGGAAGGCTGTGACGGCCTCTGAGGCTCCCTGCTGTGACAAAGGCCAGCACTGCCGGTGGTTCCCCCTGAACACTGTGCGGATCCATTCCTGCTCACATCACTCTGCATTCTCAGTGACCTCTGACTGGGTCTCACTTCTGACTGAATTTCCTCACGGACCCAGTGCCACTGAGAGGCATGCCACTTAGTCCATGAGTCTGAGGCATCTCTGTCGTTTCTAGCTCCACTCAGCCTAATGACTTAACACAGGCACTTGCTCTGATTTCAGTCTTCATGACTTTTCTTGATAACTGTTTTGGACCTCCAAACAGGTTCTGCCCTTATATGCACTCAAGTGCCCGGAAAAAGGACAACTGACACTGGGGGCCGTGCCCACCCACTCAGCATTCTGTATGGGCTTCATTGCCTCACCTGGTTTCTGTCCGGCTGTGGGCCCATGGCAGGCTCTGGCTGTGAGTCCACAGAGGTCTCTGTCCAGCGTGTGCCCATGGCCATCTCTGGCTTCGGGTCCATATTAGTCTCTGGTTGTGTGTCCAATGGTGGTTTCTATTCAGTTGCATGTTCATGGCTTTTCTGTCCAGCTGTGTGTTCATGATGGTCTCTGTCCAGTTGTGTTGATGGTGGTCTCTGTCTAGTTGTATGCCCATGACTATCTCTGGTTGTGTTTCCAGAGCAGTCTCTGTCCAGTTGTGCCCATGGTGGTCTCTGTCCAGTTGTGTGTCTATGACTCTCTTTGGTTATGTTTTCAGAGTGGCCTCTGTCTAGTTGTGTCCTCTGACTGTGTGTCCACAGCAGTCTACGTCCAGTTGAGTGTCCATAGCAGTCTCTGCCATTTGTCATGTGGCTGTGGTGAAGGCTGTTGGTGACGAAGGACGTGGCTGCACCAAGTGGCTGTTATGAAGGACGGACTCCTATGAGGGGCCAGAGGCAGGAGCATTCAACCAGTTAGAAAGCGGGCAGCAAACCCGACGAGCAGCTTCCATGCTGACAGCAGAGATGTAGAGCATGCTGTCATAGCTATGAAGGACATTTCTAGAAGGCTGTGGAGGATCATTCTAGAAGGTTTTGGGGGACACTTCTAGAAGGCTCTGGAGGATGTTTTTAGAAGGCTGTGGAGGACATTTCTAAAAGGTTTTGGAGGATCCTTCTAGAAGGCTGTGGAGGACATTTCAAGAAAGCAGCGGAGGATCCTTCTGGAAGTTTCTGGAGGACTTTTCTAGAAGGCTGTGGAACATGCTTCTAGAAGGCTGTGAAGGATCCTTCAAGAGGCTGTGGAGGATGTTTCTAGAAGGCTGGAGAATGCTTCTACAAGGATGTGGTGGACCCTTCTAGGGATTTGTGGAGGATCCTTCTAGAAGGATGTGGTGGATACATGCAGAAATGCTCACGGAAGATGCCTCCATGGGCACAACCAGGAGAGACAGAGCTTTAGGGCACATCTCTGAACTGCTCACATCTGGTTTCTGCAGCCCAAACTGCTCTAAGGACACGTCTCTGCTGCCCTGGGGAGCAGCGGGTGGTCCGGGAGCTGCCCCCAGGCTTCCGTGCAGCTCCCCCTGCCGGAGGCACCAGGCCACATGCAGGGCTCTGCAGCGCTGCTCCCCGCGGGCAAGGCCTTGGGCATGGCCCTTGCTCCCATGCCAAGCCAGGCCCCCTGCAGCAGAGACCCCAGGCGGGGCCACGGCCCGGCAGCTGTCGTCTCCCTTACCTAGTGGACGTGCCCGGGATGGGGCGGCCCGTGTCCACGAGCACACACCAGCAGTAGCCCGTGGAGGGGTGGCACTGCACAGGCTTGTAGAGGCCGCCTTGGGCGCACTCGGGGACCACCACGTCGTCATTCTTGGGCTGCTTGGCCTCCTCCAGGGCTGACTGCTGCTCCTGGTCACAGGACGATGCTGCGGGGGAGGCAGGCAGTGAGCACACAGCCCCGGTCCCCACCGCCAGCCTGAGGACCCCGCCCCTGGCTCCCACCCCATTGGTCCTCACTTCCCCAGGCCTCACCTCACTGCTCTGCATAAGGGCTCCAAAGACACAGCCCGGCATGAAAGCCCAGGGCCCAGGCACCCCTGCCCGCCTGCAGGGCGGTGACTGGGAGCGAGCAGCTGCCCTGCCATGATCTGGGGGCACACAGACCCCCTTGGCAGCTCCTGGGGACGCGGCCCTCTCAGAAGTGCCTGGGGCGGCTGTGGGCGACAGGCCTGCTCAGAAGCCCTGCTCCACGCACAGGCCGTAGTCTCCTCCTGTGACAGCAGACAAGTTCTCCCGTGACCTGGGAGCTGGTACGCAGCTCCTCAGTCTGTGCGCACGTGTGGGTGCTCATGTGTGTGCCAGTGTGTGAAGGTGCAGGTGTGGGTGTGTGCGTGTGTGCACGTGTGTGTCTGTCTAGATGTGCACCTGTGCAAAAGGGCCTGTGGTTGTGCACACATGTCCACTGAGGCACGGTGCGTGTGTGTGCAAGGGTGTGCAGTGTGTGTGGATGATTCTATGGGTGTGCGTGTGTGTACACGTTGCGTACAGGTGCCTGTGTGCAAATGCGTAGGCATGCTCCTGTGCAGACCCAACTGTGCGTCCACGTGCATGTGTGGGTGTGTAGTCGTGGATGCGTGTGCACACAGATGGGTGTGAGTACACTGTGCAGGCATGTGCATGGGAGAACGCACTGTGTGCTGTTCAGACAGGTGGACACTCCAACGTGGTGGGGGTCGAGAGCCCCTTCCTGATGGGTGCCCGGCTGAAGTGTGTGCCCAGGGCCCTGGGGGGGCTGTCCCAGCCCCTTCTCAGGATTGTCACTGGGAGAGCAGGACACCCCCCAAGCTCCCGGACAAGGCAGGGGAAGCAGCCCAGAGAGAGCAGGACCCTCCGAGGACCGCCAAACTCTAAGGGGGTCCGAGAAGTAGACGGCACACCCAGGATGGGGAACCCTCTTCCCCCAGTGCCAGCAGTCAGAGACGGCCGACAGCAGAGCAGCGGCCACCCCACCCACGCACGCCCCCAGGCGGAGGAGCACGGGGCCCTCTGGGGCAGACAGCCTGACCCTCCACTCCGGCAGATTTCTCTACACAGGGCACAGAGCAGCCCTGTGCAGTCAGAGCACCCCACACACAGAGTACTCCTGTAATAGAGTACTCTTACTCTATTAAGAACTCGTACTAAGAAGCTCTCCATACACAGTATATGAATAGTAGCCCTATAACACATCACCCTGTACGTAGTCAGAGTACTCCCACCTAGTGTGCTCCGAGATATAGTCAGAGCAGTGCTGTAAGATCGGGCACTGTGGTGACGGGGGTCCCTGGTGTGTTGGGGGCCGATAGATGTTCCCCGCTGATAGACGAGAAACGGGTTGAGCCAATGACCAACCACCTTCATTCCCAATTCCACAGCCTAGACACAGGGTACAGGAACTGCTGGGAGGTGGGGACTATGACAGACGGTGGTACAGTGCAGGGGGAGCACAGCACGCGGGAGTTTACCACAGCACTAACAACTGTTAGTGTCCCTGGGTGTCCGTGTGCAGGTGTAGGCATCCGTGTGCAGGTGTGGGTGTCTGTGCGGGTATGGGCATCCGTGTACAGGTGTGGGCGTCTGTGTGCAGGTGTGGGTGTTCATGGGTAGGTGTGCAGTTCTTGGGGCAAGATCATCCCACTGTGCGGGCACCTGCCACCTCCTGGTGCCCGGCGAGAGTGGCTGTCACAGCTCCATCTGCTCAGACGAGGCCCACGCCTGACCACAGGACATCTCCATGTCTGACCCATGGGACCCCACCACCTCTGACCCTCAGGACAATGCCACGTCAGACACTTGGGGAGCCACTACATCTGACACTCTGAACCCCGACACGCCTGGCCCTCAGACCCTGAAGACACTGGGCCTCTGGCCTGTGGGAGGATGCAACGTCTGACTCTTGGAAGATGCCACGTCTGACCTCAGGACATGGCCATGTCTGACCCTTGGGGTGCTGCTAGGTGGGACACTCGAGATGCCGCCACCTCTAACTCTTTGGATGCTGCCCTGTCTGACCCTCAGGACGATGCCACGTCTGACCATTGGGATTACATCACATTTGACCCTCGGGACAATGCATGTCAGACCCCGGGGACAATATCCCTCACGTCCAGTGAGTGCTGGGGAGGCAGGGAGGGAGGAGCCACACAAAACAGCATTCAAACACCTTCGATCAAAGCTCAATAGCTACCCAGGCCTCAGCTCCATAAAACAGAATGTGTGAGCCAGGTCAGTAGGTCAGGGGCAGGGGAGGGGCAGGGAAGGCACAGGGGAGGGAGAAGGGAAGGACGGGAGAGGGACAGGGACAGGGGAGGGACAGGGAAGGGACAGGGACAGGAATGAGAAGGGGACAGGGGAGGGGCCGGACACTGGCATCCCCTTTCTGTCTTCTCTTTTGCGTCCACCTGGCCTCACTCCTAACAACCAGGAAAGCCTGTTGACTGTGGCACTGCATCAGGTTTGATGTAGGAAACACCAGGACTCTGCAGCCCGGCTGGGAGAGAGTCAGAGCCCCTGACCCTAGGCCCCCTCAGGGAGAGCAGTGGGTCTGCATGCCTGCAGGGGGCAGCACGATAAGGGAGGCCCTGGTGCCTGCCCCCACCCTGCCCCACACCTCTCCCTCCCCACCCGACTTGCCCCCCTCACCCCTCAGGGATAAAAGTAATTAAAAGTAATAAAATATAAAATCCAGAGTAACAAGTCACAGATGACTATCTCGGGGAATAAATGTCCACTTACATAAAAAATGATTAAAAGTCGCTCTTCAAAGCTAAAAGCCATAAAAGTGAGACCCTGCAGGGCAGGGCAGTCACGTGGGCCCCGCTGATCTCACTGGGCCGTGGCAGCTGCTGCCGGGTCTCCAGTGCCACCAGCTGTCCCTGCCGCACACCTGGGGAGAGCACTGCTAAGGAGGGGCCCTTCTGCCAGGGTCCTGTGACCCAGGTCCCCCGCCCCCGCTGGTCCCGTGGCCGTGTCCCGTGGTGGCCGTGTCCCCTCCTGTCCCCATGCCTGTGGTTTTGGAGTCCCTCCCAGGGGCGGCTCCGTTTTGAGCCGGAGTTGGGACACTGTCTGCTGAAATCTCCGGACACGCCACCATTCGCCCCAGACACAGCAGCTGCCAGCTCTTACTACAGGCTACAGCTGACAGGGCGCTGAGGCCCGGCCGGGGACACGGCATGGCGGCTGTCGGGTGGATGTCAAGGTGCAGCCTGCGCCGCTGTGACACGTTCCCACACAGGCCTCACAGCTCTGCGAGCTCCCAGGAAACGGGGAGGTCGGGCACGTGAGGGTCTCTCATGACCACCCACTGCCCGGCAGAGCCCAGAACAGAGCCAACTCCTGGCTGAGGTGGAGGACGGAGAAAGAGACCAAGCGAGGATGTGAATCCTTGGAGCACCTCGGCTGTTGGCCAGGCGCTGGGGTCGTCACCCGAGTGACGACCTTTTATTCAGTACGTTCCGATTCTCCGAGTCCTGCAAGTGGCTCTGACCATCTGACCCAAGCGTTTCCCCTTTTCTTTTCCCAGAGACGCAGCAGCAGGGAAGCAAGGACACCTGCAGGTGCCTCCAGGGTGACCGAGAGCGGGAACGCCCTCCTCCCTGTACACACCCACCAGCAGGCATCCACGAGGCAGGTGGTCCTGGGCTCAGGGTCCCTCAGGGCAGGGGGCAGGGACGCAGCATCCACAGAGCCTCCCGTGGAGCCACAGACCTCGTTCCCACCCCGAGCTGCTCCCCCATGCCCGATTCTAGCCCTGAAGGCCACTCTCGGGACGTTTGCTCGGAGGGTAGAGTGGCGTGTGCAGGGCTGTGCCGAAGACCGGGGGGACCATAGCTCTCCCTCCCGACCTCAGCACACTGTGGGGCTCAGGCTCAGAGGTGCCGGCACCACCCACTGGGGTGGGAGACGCATGGGCTACCTGGGACCTTGACACCTGCGACTGGAGAGGCCAGAGGCAGAGAACCACGATAAAACATTCTCACTTGGCTTCCTGAAACTAGTTTACTCCGCTGTACAGAAAAACCTTATAAAGCATCTTTAGAATGTAATAAAAAATAGTCCCCAATTTCAAGACCCCATTTTCATGATCAAAGTTAGACAACCGTTTCCGCTGGGAGCCAGGTGGGCTGTTGCCCTGACTTCAGAGGAAGAAGCAGGGTGGGTGGTGCAAGAGTGCAGGGAAGATGCTTGCCCTGCGTGCAGCCGACCGAGGCTTGATCCTCGGCACCGAATACGGTCCGGAGCCTCCAAGGGGTGACCCCGCACAGAGCCGGGGGCAAGCCCTGAGCACCACCAGGTGTGGTCTCAATAAATTCAAACCGAATAATAAGGGGGGGGGAGGGAGAGGAGGAAGGAGGGCAGAAGCGGGGAGGAGCACAGGAAGGATGGAAGGAGGGAGGGAGTAAAAATGGGAATGAGAGAAGGAGGGAGGGAGGGTTTACTAAATCTGCCTCACTGAGTACCCTCTCTTACCTGAATTCTTGTTGGTTTTATTCTGCCGACTTTTCACTTGTTCGGTCCAAAGTGTAGGGTAGCGGGATGCAATATCTAACGAACAAACAGAGCCAACGTTTTAAGTGCATCAGGAAATCTCTCCATCCAGACTTCACCAGGCAGACAAAATCCAAAGTCTAAGAGATAAACCAGCGACTCAAGTCGTAAAGGGAGGGGGCGGGGACACCGAGAGGCAGCCAAGGGCCTCTGTGAGCTGCCAGAGCCCCCTCCCCAGTGGCTCCTGCCCTCAGCCCTGCCGGAGGGGCCCGAGGGCCACATCAGTGCTGGGCCCAGAGCCCCGGATCGTCAGGCCCATGCGGCCAAAACTAAACCCACCAAGGGCTCCCTCCAGCCTCCCACACTGCTGGGGAAGAGCCCACCATAAACATGCTGAAATGACGTGTGAGCGAAAATAAATTACTATATAATTGTAAACATTAGAACTTTCCCTTCGTGTGAAAGTATACATGCGAAAGCTGTGTGGGCACAGATGGCCCCGCGTCAAGACACGTGGGTTTGACCGTACAGAACCACATCCCTTACGGCCACTGGGAGTCTGTTCCACCCTGCGTGGCTGGTGTGGGCTGCCACAGGGCTGGGGCAACCAGAGAAACACCCTGTGGCTCTCCAAGAGAACGGCATGTGCAGGGGTTGGGGCAAGGCCAGTACCATGGCCAAGAGCCCCGTCCACAGACACCTGGGCCCCCCTCCACCACGCCGGCCATGCCCTGGGCGATTCAGTTTCTCACTGGCACCAGGGGCCCAGAACGCACGTGCCTGCGGCCCATGCCTCCTGCACTCCTGGTTGCCATTATCATAACCGTCAGTTATTTGATTCTGATTTTCCACACCATGTTCACGCACCATGTACTTTCCTTAACCTTTGTCTCCAAACCCTGGTTGGTTCTGACCAGAACATTTTTATACTGACAGAGAGCCAAAAGAATTTGTTAAAAGTGACGAGTGTGTGGGGCTGGAGCGAGAGCACAGCGGGTAGGGCGTTGGCCTTGCATGTGGCCGACCCGGGTTCGATTCCCAGCATCCCATAGGGTCCCCTGAGCACCACCGGGAGTAACTCCTGAGTGCAGGGCCAGGAGGAACCCCTGTGCGTCGCTGGGTGTGACCCAAAAAGAAAAAAAAAGTGACAAGAGTGAGTCCATCTCAAGCACATGTGGCTTTAAAAGTTCGCCTGCATCCGTGGCACGGATTATGCGTCTGAGCAGCGGAGGCACCAGTCCCGACCCCGTGCAGCCCTGCCCCAGCCCGGGAGACCACGCTCCCTGCACTCACCTTCTTCATCTCCTTGAGGCTGAGTCTCCAACGCAGGCACTGAGGCATCATCTGAATTCAGAATGGAAAAGATTTGCAAGGAGACTACGGTTGTGAGAGTAAGTTAAGGAAGCATCAGGATGGAGCTAGGACCCCAGAGCGTCCCACCCACACTCACCCCACCCCTGCACCAGACAGACTCCGAGACCTTGTGATTTAAGGGTCAACTGGTGGCAGTGCTGTCCCAGACTCAAAACAGACTGGAGAGGAGTGTGGACACACCTGTAAATCCTGGAGTTGGGGCAGCCTCAGGATGGAGGAAGAGGAAAGAAGTGGGGGAGGGAGGGGCCCAGGGTCATAGAAACGTGTGGGCACCCATGGGAGGGAGGACTGCAGTCCCAGGTGAGGTGACTCGGTGGGGGAGGGGAGGCACGGGTGGGTACTAGGTGCCCCGACCAATTTCCCCAGGGGGACAGGCAAGGGCTTCACAGCTAGTCACTGCCCTCACCCCACACCCCTGCGCTCCGTCACGGGACCATGCAGAGCCCACGGGGAGGGAAAAGGGGGATGGAGGGAAGATGAGTTCTCAGCTCAGCCAGTGGTCATTAGCACATGCAGAGCCCTGTGCTCCTGAGACAGAGTGCTGGGCGCCAGCACAGAGTGGGTGTCCAGAAGCCTCTACAAGTCCTGCAGAAGCCCAGCCAGGGACCCTCTTAGCCACCAAGCTGGGCAGGACCATCCAGAAGCCCTCATTCAAGCTCCCCGTGAGACTTTATTGAGGATTGGGCACATCTGAGACAACCAGCTCTCACTCAGGGGGGAGAGGGGGCGGGGGAAATTGCTTCCTGTTCCCCCAGCGACCTGAGCAACTCAGCAGCACTTGCCATGCAATATAAAGAGATGTCCCAAGAGAACCTTCATCCCTGACCCATCCCTGGTGAGCCATAACTCTGAGCCACGTGGCACCGTTTACCTGAAACACTGAGAGTGCTGTGGAGAGTGGGCACGGGGGCTCTGTGTGGGGTTCTGTGACAGGCTCCAAGTGGGAGTCCCTGACTGAGGGGAACTGGAGGACCTACAGAATTGGGGGTCCCAGGAGAATCCCACATGACCTGCTTACACTGAGCCAGGATGAGACCCATGTGGATCATGCTCCACTGGACTGAGACCCACATGGCTCACGCTGAGCTGGGGTGAGACCCACGTGGCTCATGCTTAGTTAGGATGAGACCCATGTGGCCATGGAAAGCTGGGATGAGAAGAACGTGGCTCACACTGAGCTGGGGTGAGACCCACGTGGCTCATGCTTAGTTAGGATGAGACCCATGTGGCCATGGAAAGCTGGGATGAGAAGAACGTGGCTCACACTGAGCTGGGGTGAGACCCACGTGGCTCATGCTCAGTTGGGACGAGACCCACATGGTTCTCACTGAGCCAGGGTAAGACCCAAGTGGATCACGCTGAGCTGGGGTGAGACCCACGTGGCTCATGCTCTGTTGGGATAAGACCCTTGTGGTTCTCACTGAGCCAGGATGAGACCCACTGAACTGATGTGACTGATGTGGCTTGTTCTGAGTCAGGACAGACCCACGTGACTCATGCTGGGCTTCCCTCTGCCCTGAATCCCTGTGTCCTGCAGGCAGTTGTCAAGTTGCTACCACGCGGCCTCCCGTGTTCTCCAGGATCCTCCAGCTTCTGCTGGCCCCTGGCCATGTTGCTCTGTCTCTGTCCACCCAAGGCACCTCCCCAAAACAGCTGAAGCCTCTAAAAGCAGCAGCAACCTGAGTCAAACATGAACCCACAGTCACTGCCATGGCCACTGGAGGCTACTGGGCAGGGTCACGTCCCATCCGCATCTCCTGCATGCCCTTGAGACGGAGGGCTCTGGGAAGGAAACTGAACAAACAACCCCTCACTCCCGGCTGTGCTCACACACAGCCCAGCCACTTCCTATTTGACCCCTGACAGGAAGTCAGAAGGACCTCGGAGGCAGAACCGAGACGTGTGCTGACCCCTGAGCTTCCTCAGTTCTCCTAGCTCAGCATCCCTACTTTCCAACCATGATACGGTTGCACCTCAGGAAGAGTCACACGCCTCAGGCTCTCCAAACCAGTCCTCCAGCCTAACTCTGGACTCAGCTCCTCCGGCCACGGGGAGACCAGCCAGCCCGGCCGAGGGCCTCCACTCTGGGTCACAGCCCAGCCACTGCAGTCCCGGGCCCTCCCACCAGTATCAACCCTGCCCACCCTTAGCCCACCACAGTCCCCCACCCCCCACCTCTCTCTCAGCCCCAGAGCCTTTTCTTCTTTGTTCTTGCAACTCCCACATCCTGTTCCACTCAAACACCTTCTTCTGGAGACATCCTTCAACCTCTTCCTTTTTGGCCCCAGGACAGGTGCCAACCACTTGGGCCCAACCTGACCCCACAGAAATGCGGGCAAAGCCCATGTACTCCAGGTGCTCCTTGGCTGCTGGCTCAGGACTGGAACCCGCAGACAGAACCTCCACAGACTCCAGACTGACTGACTGATGGGCCTCTAGTGGCCCAACAGGCCCTGCCTAGGTCCAAGCAAAGTGCACCTATTCAACGGGGGCTGTACCCGCACCGGGCCACGTGACCATTGGCCTCCATGATGTCTGACTGACCGCCCAGGCATGTCCTGTGAGGGGACAGGACCCACACCAGGGAGGGATGACTCTCCAGGACCACCCATGCACGGCCCCTCCCGGTAGCCGGCCACAGTTAGGGCTGAAGAAACCTCCAGGAATTTCCTCGCTCCTACATGTCCTGAGCACACACGTGTTACTCTGACCACGAGAAGCTTCTGCCATGCAGAAACACGGCGCCTCATGTGAACTGTTACCTGCTCTCCCCGTGCCTTCCCGCTGCGGCAGCTTCTCACTCGCGGAGCCTGGATAAGAACAAGAGCGACATTATTTCAGGTCCTCGAAAGGTGACACTCACTGCAAACTTTGTTCTCTTCCACTCGGCTCACGTGCAGCCACACTCCCTGCCCACGTGGGGGAACAGGGTTAGCTGCTGGACACGGAAGAGCCCTTGGCGCGTCAGAAGCCACTGCCGTGTCTCCATCTGAGAAACTGGAAGAACCTAACAGGTGTGAGCCGGAACCCAACACTGCATACTTCATCTGCTCAGGTGGGGGTCCAGGCAGCAGGATTCCACCCGGGCATCCTAGTGGGAAGACTGTGGCAGGCCTGGGAGGGGGTCTGAAGGGGTCTGGCAACCCTCAGCCCTGCCAACCCCTTCAACATGTGGGGAACCCACAACACCAGGTCCTCCTCAGTCCCTTCTAGGCCCTCCTCAATGCCCCTCAGCCCCGCCCACGGCCCGCCCTCACCTCCCCCTCAGTCCCCCCTCAGTTCCTCCTCAGTCCCCTCCTCAGCCCCGCCCTCAGCTCCTCCTCTGTCCCCCCCTCAGTTCCTCTTCAGTCCCCTCCTCAGTCCCCCCTCAGCCCCGCCCTCAGCTCCTTCTCAGTCCCCTCCTCAGTCCCCTCCTCAGTCCCACCCTCAGCTCCTCCTCAGTTCCTCTTCAGTCCCCTCCTCAGTCCCCTCCTCAGCCCCGCTCTCAGCTCCTTCTCAGTCTCACCCTCAGCTCCTCCTCAGTCCCCTCCTCAGTCTCCTCCTCAGTCCCCCCTCAGCTCCTCCTCAGTCCCCTCCTCAGTTCCCTCCTCAGTCCCACCCTCAGCTCCTCCTCAGTCTCCTCCTCAGTCCCCCCTCAGCTCCTCCTCAGCCCCACTCTCAACTCCTCCTCAGTCCCCTCCTCAGTCCCCCTTCAGTTCCTCCTCAGTCCCCTCCTCAGTCCCACCCTCAGCTCCTCCTCAGTCTTCTCCTCAGTCCCTCCCTCAGCTCCTCCTCAGCCCCACTCTCAACTCCTCCTCAGTCCCCTCCTCAGTCCCCCTTCAGTTCCTCCTCAGCCCCCTCCTCAGAACCACCCTCAGCTCCTCCACAGACCCCTCTTCAGTTCCCTCCTCAGCCCCTCCCTCAGCTCCTCCTCAGTCTCCTCCTCAGTCCCCTCCTCAGTCCCCTCCTCAGCCCCGCCCTCAGCTCCTCCTCAGTCTCACCCTCAGCTCCTCCTCAGTCCCCTCCTCAGTTCCCTCCTCAGTCCCACCCTCAGCTCCTCCTCAGTCTCCTCCTCAGTCCCCCCTCAGCAACTCCTCAGCCCCACTCTCAACTCCTCCTCAGTCCCCTCCTCAGTCCCCCTTCAGTTCCTCCTCAGTCCCCTCCTCAGTCCCACCCTCAGCTCCTCCTCAGTCCCCTCCTCAGTTCCCTCCTCAGCCCCTCCCTCAGCTCCTCCTCAGTCTCCTCCTCAGTCCCACCCTCAGCTCCTCCTCAGTCCCCCCTCAGCCCCGCCCTCAGACCCCTTAGCCCCACCCTCAGCCCCCATCAGTCACCATCCTCAGTCCCCCACCCTCAGGTCCCCGCCTCGGGTTCACCCCAGCCCTGCTGTCACAGCCCTACAGCCCCCTTCTAGGACAGAGCCTTTCCTGGGACTGCAGACAAGGAGGTCCAGCACACACACACACACACACACACACACACACGCACACACACACACGCACACATGGACACACGCGGCCCTCCTGGGAAGACGGCACCTTTCTGGGATCCACCCGCTTCAGACCCGCGTGTCCAAGTCTCCTTCCCGCGGAAGCGCTGTCTGTGCCCGTCCCTCTCAACCCAGAAAGGTGGCACCTCCATCTCCCCCAGCGTATCGACAGGGACAGGGACATTTCAGCGACGCCCTAACACAACTGGGCAGTTCTCTGGACAGGAAATTCAGCCATGAGGAGAGGCCGCTTCTGTGTCATTGAGACTGACTGGGCATCGAATGCTCGGCAGAGCTGGCGGAAGCAGAGATGCAGCTCAGGAGAGAAAGCTCAGCTCAGCTCAGCTCAGAAGAGGCCACAGTCCTGCCAGGTCACGGTCCTGCCCCAGCAGTCACGGCCCTTGCTCAGCCCCTGGGGGGTCCCTGAGACCAGTGCCCGCCTGCACCCCACAAGGCAGCTCCCTCTTCCCGCAGGGCTGCATAGGAGGAGGCCCAGCTGGTCCGGCCCTTGAGGAGCCCCGGGCCACCGTGTGGGAACTTCAGCCTGGCACGAGACGCAACGGTTCAGCCGACGGGCCCGCAGCACAGAGCAGATGGGAACGAAGGCCTCAGTGGCCCTCGGACCCTCCCGCCCCAACCCGTCTCCGCGTACCTGTAAGAAGAAAAGCAGAATCCAGAGAAAGGACGCCCAGTGCACGCACAGCCAGGACTCCTCGCCGCCACCGTGGGCAAAGGTCAGGGGTCATGCTCCCAGGCAGCCCAGCTCAGAGGGCAGCTGTGGGCAGGGCCCAGGATGCCCTCACACAGCGGGCATGGCAGCACCAGCCGCACGAGGACCCACGAGCTCCAGGAGGGGTCGGGCCCACCGAGCCCCGTCACCCTGTCCTGGCCAACGGGGCCTTCTGCTCAGGACAAAGGGCCCGGGCCCGCCTGCATGCAGAATCCTAGCGGCTCTGCTATGTGCGCACATATGTGTGCATGTGTACGGGGGTGGGCATGTGTTTGTGTGTGCATGCATGTGAGTGTATATGGGAGCATGTGTGTATTGTGTGCACGTGTACGTACGTGTGTGCATGTGTGTACATGTATATTATGTGTATCATGCCTATGCATGTAGTGTTATTGAGTGTGCAGTGTTGTGTGTACGTGTGTCCTATCTGCATATGCACGCAGGTGTGTTGTGTACATGTGTGTATGCATTGTGTGCGTGTGTACATGTGTGTGCATATGTGTGTCTATGTGTGCGTGTATGTGCAGGGTGCCCCCAGCAGGCCACCCTTGGTCCTACCCTCTCTCAGCCCCCCAGGACCTCCAGGAATAAGTTCTGGCAAACAACTGGGGAATATGTGGGATCTGCCGTCTCTCTCCAGACTCACCCTTGCTGGGTCTCAGAAATGGTGAGCTGAGTCCAAGGCTGGGGATGACTCTGACAAGGACCCTCCAGACCCCAGGCTCTCCACAGAGGTCAGGGCTGAGACCCACAGCCTGGCAGCTCCGCAGAGCCCCTGACTGGGATTACTGAGGTGGGCAGAGGGTCTTCTCCTGTCTGCAGAGAGGGTACAGCCATAGAGGTGGGCTGTGGGCAGCTGTTGAGGACAGGGTGGATTACCTGGCTGGCCACCTCTGGGGCCCATGGTGGTCCCTGATAAGATTATGCTGCTCTAGCATAGGGCTGTGTCCCCACCGCTCCCAGGCCTCATCCTATGAATGGCAGGGGCTCATAGGATCCATGGAAAAGTGGGGGACGGGACGAGGACGTAGACTGAGCTGTGCCGTTCTCCCCACCCACACCTTGACCAAAGGAAAGCAGACCCGCAAACACCACAGTCCTCAAAGCTCCACAACAAACTCCCCACATCACTACAGCCCACCATAGTGCTGCAGCCCGTGACAGCACTACAGCCCCCACAGCACCACAATCCCCACAGCACAACAGCTCCCACAGCATGACAGTCCCCATAGCACCACAGCCCACACAGCCCCACCGCCCCCACAGAATCACAATCCCACAACACCACAATCCCCACAGCACCACAATCCCCACAGCACACAAGTCCCCACAGTACCACAGCCCCAAAAGCACTATAGCCCCCACAGCACGACAATCCCCACAGCACCACAGTCACCCTCCTTCCCCCCTACCCCACCCCAGCATTATAGCCCCCACAGCACTATGGTGCTCCACAGTACTGCAACCTACTGCCCCCGTGGAGCTCCACAGGGGAGTCGCTGCTGGGGGTGGTGTGGGTGGACTCCCAGGCAGGAAGAGCTGAGGGGTCGGTGGCGGCATGGACCACAGAGCTGGGAGGAGGCCCCACATGTGTCTGCATCTGTGGGTATCCCCACCGACTGCAGCCGCAACAAGACTTCAGTGGGCAAGTCCACGTCTGGCAGGTAGCCAATCATAGGACTGGACACCCCATACTTTGTTTTGGGGGCACCCCCACTCCCTTCCCTTGAGCCCCCCTCAGGCACTGCACCCTCACACCAGGGTCTCACAGAAAAGCTTGAACACTCCTGTGGGCTCTGCCACCCATAGTGGGAAGCTTTGGGTTATGCTCCTCAGGCCCAGCTGTGAGCTCTGAGGTCCCTCCCTGTCCTCCACATTCACAGTCCCATGCAGCACAGGCCAGCTCAGAAGTGAAGGGAGGGGAAACATTCTAGGAATCATCACTTGGACCCCCCAAATCCACAAGGGGCAAAAGAAATGAAGCCTTTTTATCCAGTGAGCATTATTAGCTCATTAGGAAAATGATGAAGCGACAGTCCACAAGCTGGATCCCAGAATCAGGTTTGATTATGAACGGACAGTCCACGTGGCCGATCCCAGAGCTGGGTGTTATAATGGACAGACAGTCCACGTGGCCGATCCCAGAGCTGGGCGTTATAATGGACAGACAGTCCACGTGGCCGATCCCAGAGCTGGGTGTTATAATGGACAGACAGTCCACGTGGCCGATCCCAGAGCTGGGCGTTATAATGGACAGACAGCCCACAGTCCATGTGGCCGATCCCAGAGCTGGGCGTTATAATGGACAGACAGCCCACAGTCCATGTGGCCGATCCCAGAGCTGGGCGTTATAATGGACAGACAGCCCACGTGGCCGATCCCAGAGCTGGGCGTTATAATGGACAGACAGCCCACAGTCCATGTGGCCGATCCCAGAGCTGGGCGTTATAATGGACAGACAGTCCACGTGGCCGATCCCAGAGCTGGGTGTTATAATGGACAGACAGTCCACATGGCCGATCCCAGAGCTGGGTGTTATAATGGACAGACAGTCCACGTGGCCGATCCCAGAGCTGGGTGTTATAATGGACAGACAGTCCACGTGGCCGATCCCAGAGCTGGGTGTTATAATGGACAGACAGTCCTCGTGGCTGATCTCAGAGCTGGGTGTTATAATGGACAGAGAGGCCACGTGGCCGATCCCAGAACTGGGTGTATAGTGGACAGTCCACGTGGCCAATCCCAGAACTGAGTGTGATAATGAACAGACAATCCGCATGACAGATCCCAGAATTGGGTGTGATAATAAATAACAGTTCGCCTGGCTGATCCCAGAACTGGCCTGAATAACACTTCACGTGACCAGGTCCCAGAACCAGGTCTGCCTGGATGCAAGCATGCTGGCCAGTGGCCCAACGGTGTGAGGGGCTCTCTCGGGTCTGCTATCTCTTCACCATTGGGCTGACTCAAACATAAGAGCCCCCTGGTCACCTGCTGGGGAGTCGGCTGCAGAGCACGGCCCATGGATGCGTAAGTGGGAGACACAATGGGGTGGGCCATCCCCTGCCCACTCTGCTGTTGGGTGAAGAAGGCCCATGCAGGCAGTGGTGGTCATCACCGAGAGTGCCCAAGGACTGTGGCTCTTCATGACGAAATGACCTCACACATGGATATGACTGGACTCTGCAGCCAGCCCCAGCCTTGGATGAGGGGACGGACATCTTGTCCGTGGAGCATGACCTGCCTTCAGCCCCACTCAGGCCTGAGCTTTGGTCCTGTCAGCTGTGCGAGTCACAGGCAGATGCTCCAGGCACACACGGCCCTTCCCTCTGAGGAACAACTGCCCCAAAGTGAGACTTGTCTGAGGATTTTACAGAGGAGAGGGAGGGAGTGTGCGACTCCTGACCGTGTGGTGAGCCGACCTGGCCTCTCGGGCCGTCAGGGAAGAAGCACTCCCCACGTGGTCGGGCAGCTCTTCCCATGAGCCAGATACCCACTGACAGACAGGTCGGGGTCATTCCCAGTGTTTTTGGTGGAACAGAGCACTGAGCAGAGAGCCCACAGCTGACACGCCTCCACATCCCAGCCCCAGAGAGCAGCAGCTTGTGGTGCAGACACACACAGCCCAGACCGGGGGCCTCTGCACCTCCCTTCCCTGCCCCCTCCCAGCCCAGCTTGCTGCCACATGTGACCTGCAGCCCAGGGGCACCCTGCGCGGCCGGTGAAGACCTACCTGGGCACCGGGGAGTCTTGTGGGCCACCGCTGTGCCACTGATGGGCCGGCCGTTGGCAGTCACGCACCAGCAGTAACCCGTGTAGCTGTGGCACTGCACCTGCAGGGAAGGGGCAAGGCTGAGTGCGGCCATGCCAGGAGCCAGCCAGGGCGTCTGCCTGGAGCCGGTGGGGGGTCCTGGTATGAGGCCCTGGACCTGCAGGTGTGGCACCGGCACCCTGTGAGCTGGTCAGCTGACGCGGGGCCTGTCTCCTGAGGCCATGATACCCCACAGCCCACGGCACTCCCCCACTCACAGCCCCCCGTGCCACCTTCATTCAGCAGGACGGGGGGAGTGTCCATGGCAGGACGGGGCCCAGTGTCCATAGAACAGGGGAGAGACATAGGAGGGGGCCAGCACTGGACTTCTCCAGCACTGCCTGGCAAGACAGGACACGGCCTTAGAGCACCAAACAGCCCGGCTCACCCAGTGACCAGCTGACCTACCTGTGCCAGCCCCCCTGGTGTCCAGCTCCCCTGGTGTCCAGCCCCCTGGTGTCCAGCCCCCCGGTGTCCAGCTCCCCTGGTGTCTGGCACCCCTGATGTCCGGCCCCCCTGGTGTCCAGCCCCCCTGGTGTCCAGCCCCCCGGTGTCCAGCTCCCCTGGTGTCTGGCACCCCTGATGTCCGGCCCCCCTGGTGTCCAGCCCCCCTGGTGTCCAGCCCCCCGGTGTCCAGTCCCCCTAGTGTCCAGCCCCCCTGGTGTCCAGTCCCCTGGTGTCTGGCCCTCCTGGTGTCCGGTCCCCCTGGTGTCCAGCCCCCCGGTGTCCGGCTCACCTGACTGTAGGACCCGTCCTCACTGCACTCCGGGATGAAGACGTGCTGCAGCTCCTTCCGCGCCTGCTCCTGCGTGTACTTCCTCTCAGCCACACAGCGGGACACATCTGGGGACACAGAGCACTGCAGGGTCAGTGGGGTCAGAGAAGTCACAGCAGTCGGGTCAGCGGGATCACAGCAGGTCACAGAGGGGTCAGTGGGGCCACACTGGGCCACAGCGGGGTCAGCAGGTTCATAGTAGGTCACAGCAGTAGGGTCAGTGGAGTCACAGTGGGTCACAGCAGTAGGGTCAGCGGGGTCACAGTGGGTGACAGCGGGGTCACGGTAGGGTCACAGCAGGGTCACACCCAAGGCCGCAGCCCACACACTGAGTTGGCCCTTTGTGTGGGGTGGACAGCAGACTGGAAATTGGTCTGGCCCTGCCCATGGCCTCTTGGACCAGACGAGGTGACTGGGGGCTGCGGCCTCTCCTGAGCGTGGGCCACGTCAAGCCCCTGCAGGACCATCAGCCACATCCTCAGGACATGGAGCCTCCCCGCCCATCCCCTTCTCAGGGAGCCCCTGGCACTGTCCCTGCAGGTGAGGCCACCCCAGCATGTCCAGCACACGTTACTGCCCCTTGGCAGCTGCAGGAATCCCGTCTCACTGCAAATTCCCCAACACGTGCGGCCCCATGGCCCCCAGGTTCAGTGGAGCAGGACTGTCCACTGCAGCACACTGTCCCCCCAGGACACAGCCCTGCCCCTGCCCCTGATGGGATGTGAGCCCTGCTGACCATGTGATCTCGCCCGTGAGCCGAGGAGAGGCCGCTTCGTCCTCCGGGGCCAGTCGTGCTGGACTGCAGGAAGGGAGAGGAGAGCACTTGTGTGGCCCTCCCAGGCCAGACAGACTCCCGGAGAGCGCCAAGAAAGCCCAGGTTTCCCGGACAGTGCTGCCCCGAGAGCCGGCATGAGGGCACCTTCCGCAGCCTCCACTGACGGCCAGTGAGGTCCCAGCCCGCATGGGGCAGCTCAGCAGCGCCGCACAGGTAGCGCAGGAACAGGCCCTGCCGGGCAGAGCTGGGCCGCCGGCCCAGGCCACAGTGACCAGGGCGGAGAGCCTGGCAGAGTCGCCCGACGGCCAGGAGCATCTCCGTGTGCCCACGTCGCGGGCAGCTACCAGGGCCGTGTGCAACCTTCTCTCCCGGTGCCACTGACACCCCAGCCTCTCCGGCACACGCAGGCGACATGTTCTTAGCCCAGAAATAAGAACAGTCTCAGAAGCAAACAAGCAAACTCCCAGGCATCGGCCCTTGCGAGGTCCGGGAGGGGTGTGGGGGGAGCACAGTCCTTGCAGGCCCCCGCCGTCCCCTCCCCAGGACATTCTCACAGCTACCGTGTGGAGGGAACGCTCCTTAACTCTTCCCTGACCTTACTGCAATTTTACTCTCCACGCTTTTATAACTGAAAAGGGAGTCCTCAAAAACATGAACAGCATCACGTTTTATTGTGGGTCTACTGCGTGACGTATAAAGCTCAGCTGCGTGGGACACCCACTTCGTCCCTCTGTCCACTCAGTCAGCATCATTCAAAAGGGAGGGTGTCCATCCCTCTCACTCTGGGCGTCCGAGTGTGAGGCTGCCCCAGACCCCTGAAAGGGCAGCTGGTCTCTGAGGCCAGTGAGGTCCCAGCCCACGTGGCACACACGAGACACAGTCTCCCTCCACACCTCACAGACCCCTGAACTGGCGGCTGGTCTCCAGGGCACAGGCTCTCCACACCTCACAGACGCTGCCACCTGTCCTGGCACTGGCAGCCTGTGTCACCGTGGCCGCCCCGCCTCTATGCCAGCCTGTTGCTCGGAGTCAACTGCCACACACACTGGCAGACGGTGTCTCTTCACCTGAGCTGTTGCCACGATCCTTGCAGATGGGACGTGGCGGCTCATGGCAGTGTCTAAGCTGCGTCAGCCACCTCAGTGAATGGTGATGATAGTATGGGTTTGAAACAGTATCCGCTGGAAATAAACCACCAGTCCAATCTCCTCACAAACACCTTACTCTCCTCTTAAGAGGCCAAAGAAAACGTCTTGTTGGTTCTGTGGCAGCTGGAGATCAGGAGCCAATAAAAGACCTCCTGTATTGTGTCTGGCACGGTGTCCCCGGCGACGGCCTTGGTGGGGTTTCTTTTTACTAAGTCAGCGGCTACTGACAATGCCTTTGGTGGGCAATTTATTGAGTTATTATTTCTTCTCTAGTCTCAACATGGAACAGATTCCTTTTCTGATGGATCACAAAGTATGTCTAATAATCAAGGCACCCAGGCATGGGCGTTGTCAAAATGCAATTCTTAATACAAAGTCAAAATAAACAAGTGTTCTGACCGGCTGCTCTGCCAGTCGCTCTCACTGCAGCAGGAAGCAAATAATCTCCTACTTTGCTGAAATCCTCGACAGGATTAAGCAATCAGCAGCAGAGCCAAGAGTGCTGGCCCTTTTGTGAAGACTCCTGGTAAGCCACAGAGGCAAGGAGCCCAGGACGAGGACAGGGACAAGGACAGACACAGGGTCCAGCAGTGGCTAAGCTCTGTGGCTTCCAGGACACTGTTTGGCTTGGGGTCTCCTTCAGCCCAGACGAGCAGCACAGGGCCAGGAAAACCCTCACCCAGCTGTCCCAAAACTGTCAGAGCTGGATTCCCGCCTCCAGCCCACAGCACTGCCTCAGTTTCCACATTGTCCATTATCCCTGCAGTCACAGACCACCCGCAGGCACCAGCTTCAGGAGTGAAGAGCTGGAGTGCGTGGTGGCAGCTTGCCAAGGCCAGAAAAGTTCACACCACGACAGCTGTAGGATAAGAAGTGAAACTAAACAATGGGATAAACCTGCTATAGAGAATGGCCACAGACCCAACCACCATGGGAGAGGCCACAGAAACCACAGACACAAACACCATAGGGGGGCCACAGGAACCACAGACACAAACACCATGAGAGAGGCCACAGAACCACAGACACAAGGGAGGACCACAGAAACCACAGACATAAACACCATGGGAGAGGCCACAGAAACCACAGACACAAACACCATAGGGGGGCCACAGGAACCACAGACACAAGGCACAGACCACAGAAACCATGAACACAAACACCATGGGGGAGGCCACAGACACAAGGGACAGACCACAGAAAACCACAGACACAAACACCATGGGAGAGGCCACAGGAACCACAGACACAAGGCACAAACCACAGAAACCATGAACGCAAACACCATGGGGGAGGCCACAGACACAAGGGACAGACCACAGAAAACCACAGACACAAACACCATGGGAGAGGCCACAGGAACCACAGACACAAACACCATGGGGGAGGCCACAGGAACCACAGACACAAACACCATGGAGGAGGCCACAGAAACCACAGACACAAGGGACAGACCACAGAAACCACAGACACAAACACCATGGGAGAGGCCACAGAAACCACAGACACAAATACCATGGGTGAGGCCACAGGAACCACAGACACAAGGGACAGACCACAGAAACCACAGACACAAACACCATGAGAGAGGCCACAGGAACCACAGACACAAACACCATGAGAGAGGCCACAGAACCACAGACACAAGGGAGGACCACAGAAACCACAGACATAAACACCATGGGAGAGGCCACAGAAACCACAGACACAAACACCATGGGGGAGGCCACAGGAACCACAGACACAAACACCATGAGAGAGGCCACAGAACCACAGACACAAGGGAGGACCACAGAAACCACAGACATAAACACCATGGGAGAGGCCACAGAAACCACAGAAACAAACACCATGGGGGAGGCCACAGAAACCACAGACACAAGGGACAGACCACAGAAACCACAGGCACAAACACCATGGGAGAGGCCACAGAACCACAGACACAAGGGAGAGGCCACAGAAATCACAGACACAAATACCATGGGCAAGGCCACAGGAACCACAGACACAAGGGACAGACCACAGAAACCACAGACACAAACACCATGGGGGAGGCCACAGGAACCACAGACACAAACACCATGAGAGAGGACACAGAACCACAGACACAAATACCATGAGCGAGGCCACAGAAACCAGAGACACAAGGGAGAGATCACAGAAACCACAGACACAAACACCATGGGTGAGGCCACAGAAAACAGACACAAACACCATGAGAGAGGCCACAGAACCACAGACACAAGGGAAGACCACAGAAACCACAGACATAAACACCATGGGAGAGGCCACAGAAACCACAGAAACAAATACCATGAGCGAGGCCACAGAAACCAGAGACACAAGGGAGAGATCACAGAAACCACAGACACAAACACCATGGGTGAGGCCACAGAAAACAGACACAAACACCATTAGAGAGGCCACAGAACCACAGACACAAGGGAGGACCACAGAAACCACAGACATAAACACCATGGGAGAGGCCACAGAAACCACAGACACAAATACCATGAGCGAGGCCACAGAAACCAGAGATACAAGGGAGAGATCACAGAAACCACAGACACAAACACCATGGGTGAGGCCACAGAAAACAGACACAAACACCATGGGCGAGGCCACAGAAACCACAAACACAAACACCATGGGCGAGGCTACAGACACCATCCATCGAAGAAAGGCCTGCCATGAGGGTACCACTCCATACAAGACAGTCCAGGAACATTACCGCTCACAAGAGAGGTGACAGGCACCACAGAGAGGCCACAAGCACAAGAGGCCCACGGGAAAAGTCACAGACACCATTGCACACAGAGGCCATAGACACCACTGCCCATGTAAGAGGTCACAGAACCCCCCTCACCCATGGAAGAAGCTCTTCTGCTTGGGTATCACATGACACTACCCAAAAGAGAGCCACAGAAATCTCCCACCTTGGGAGCAGCCCTGGGACCCACTTACACACACTCCCAAGTTCATTTCCCTGTCTGCCCTGCCACAGATGAGGGCCCTGGGTCTAGCAGAGCTGCAGGAAGGGTCCCAAGGCCTCAACCCACAGTCCCAGGGTCCTGCAAAGGGGGCACTCTAGCCAGCAGAACTGGAATCAGGACTGATGTGGGCAGGGAGGACACCAAGGCATCTTCCCCTGGGGTCCTGCACTCTCCTATCTTCGACACCAACACCGTGAGGCCCTGCCAGGCACGTCCCAGAGACACGAGGGGTGACGAGTGAGCCAGCCACGGCCCACAGGACATGGCCACCAGAGGTGACAGGTTAGCCTACCACAGCCCACAGGATTTGACTACCAGGAGTAACGAGTGAGCCTGCCACGGCCCACGGGACATGGCCACAAGAGTGACAAAGGACCAAGCCACAGTCCACACACAGACACCTAACCCAGCCTACCAAAGGGTCCCTCAGAAGCTGCAGGGCTCAGAAATAACCGGAAGGTTCCTCTGTCAGCTTCTCTGTCTGATTCTCTTCCCACAAACCCCAAAACAGCAGCAAGAGCTGCTGGCATTCAGCTGCTCTCTGCTATTTTTGTCGTTTTCACGTCTTTGTGCAGTGCCAGATGTTTGTTGAAAATAAAGCCAGCCCAGTAGTCTCAAATCAAAAGGAAAAATATGAATGTGCTTTCTGAGCTCTGAAAACATAAACTCAACCAGTTCTGAAGAAAATATGAGAAAAATGCACCCATGGAAACTGCCACCCCATTCTCGCAGGTCATGCATGGCTTAGGTCACATGAGAGCATGAAACATTTTCACGCGACTATTGAAACACGGGCAAAAGCATTGAACTGCGTGCTCCCACCCCGCACCCAGCACACGCGCAGCATCCGTCAGCAGCAGGCGGGACCATCAGCCAACCGAGTCACTGGGAGGCGCTTCCAGAACATTCCAGAGGTGCTGATGGAACAAGAGGACCTCGGAGTGTCTGGGACTCCACCCCGATTCAGGAGGCCAGAGAGGAGAGGCCACACAGTCCAGGCAGGCTGTGGGGACGGTGGGAATCTAGGGCACTTCTCACACCGGCAGCAGGTTCGCCAGGTCAGGCCGCAGGGCTGAGCCATGCACGGGGCGATGCTCCCCTGGGGAACCTCTCGCGGAACCAGCCCGGGGCAACCCGGCGGGCAGGACCAGGCAATCTCAGCCACGTGTCAGCCAGCACATCCACAAGGCCCTCGGGGTCCCCGCTGGCAGCAGAGAGGTGGGCCCCTCCAGCCGCCATGCGCCATGCCAGCTCGGAGCCTGCACACGTGTCCCTCGTCACAGCCCCCAGGAGCTTGGGCCGTGTGAGATCAGGAGCGTGGACTAGTTCAGCCAAGGAGGCTGCGGAGGGTCCCATGAAGAACCCTTTGTCAGGGGCTCCCGACAAAGGGTGCGTGGCTTCACTCGGTCTCGGTCTCAGAGAGGGTGGGGGCACCCCAGACCACCACGACGTCCGGCTCCACGGGGACAGTCAGCCTGCGCTCAGGTTCACACGGGTCAGGACATTTGCTCTCCGGTCCCGCAAGCCAATCGCCCAGCCTCTTGGACACAGAGGGCAGAGGTGTGACAGGGCTATGTCCTCCCCTTCCCTCCCCATATCTGCTGAGAGAGCTACCACAGAGGGCTGCTCGGGCAGGGAAGCCAACTGCCCAGGTGACCATTCCACCAACAACGTGCTGACTACAGGTGGAGGCTGGACCCAAGGAGACAGGCCAACACCTGTGTGGGCCAATAAGGAGAGACGCTGACCACTAGCTGACATCTTGCTGGCTGTGTCCACCTGCTCACTGACCTACAGAGATGCTGACTCGTGTCCATCTGCGCACTGACCAGAGACACTGACCCGTGTCCACCAGCTCCCTGACCCAGAGACACGCTGGCCCATGTCCACCTGCTCACTGACCAGAGACACAGTGACCTATGTCTACCTGTTCACTGACCCAGAGACATGCTGACCCATGTCCACCTGCTCACTGACCCAGAGACACGCTGGCCCGTGTCCACCTGCTCACTGACCCACAGAGACGCTGACCTGTGTCCATCTGTCAATCCACCATGTAGACCTTGAAGTCTGCTAAGTCATTTCCACAGTCTGTCGGTCAGGCAGAGGTAGCCGGGGCCCCAGAGTCCAGGTTATGACCCCTCCTGGGCAAGCTGTCCCAGCCTGTGGAGACGCCCTGCACGCCTTCCCTTGCAGCGGGCGGGTTTTGTCCCTCACCTTCTCAGGGAGACACCAAGTGTGCGGGGACCAAGCTCAGTGCAGTGGCCATGCGGCTGTGGAGTGGGAGAGAGGCATGTCGGCCACACGCATCTGCTGGGGTCCAGCTGTGGGCGGGCACCTCCAGAGGGGCGCCCACTCTCTGCCCCCACATAGCCCCACTGGCCAGGGGACGCCTGATCCCGCTGACGGCACATGGGGCCCAGTCCAGCAAGATCCCGTCAGCCGAGCCCCCAGCCGGAGCATCTGCCTGTTTGCTCGTCCGTGGGAAGCTGCCGGGTGGAGTGTCCACATCTCTGCTGTCCCCGGGAGGCTGCGGGCATGGCCTCTCTGTCCCTCTGGTTGGTGACTGCGGGTCTCACCCATCGAACTCCTCGGTGCCGACATGGTCTCTGTTTCGCTCCCACATGGTCACTGTGAAGATGCCCCCCTGCCCCCTACTGTCCCGGGACCAACAGGCCACCACTGCCACGGGGACAGTCTGGGACAGGAAGGAGGTGTCCATGCTGCCCGGGGACCACGGGCCTCGCTCAGGACCCCCACTGCACCCGGATCCAGGCCGCAGCCTAGCCTCTGCCGCTGAGACACCTGGAAGGCCACACCGCCTTCTGACCCATCCGGTCAGTGATGCTCCCCGAGCCCCTCTTGTGGGGCTGCACAGGGCAGAGCCGCTCAGCCCTCAGGGAAGGGGCCGCAACGGCTTGCAGTGGGGCCCGGGTGGTCACCGTGTGCAAAAGTCCCTGCAGGGCCCAAGGGATGCCAGGTGGGTCCTATGGGAGGAAGGCTCCGTGTGCAGCCCGCCTGAGTCTGGGGGCGCAGCCTGCGGGACCCAGGCCCACGCGCCCGCCGGCCTCACCTTTGCAGCTGCCGCGGTGAGCGATCTCCAGCTGCGGGTCCTTGCACTTGGCGCGCTGGAACTCGCAGCGGGACAAGAAGGTCCTCCCGTCCGAGGCGCAGAGCGGCTTCTGTGGGGAGCCCCCGCACTCCAGGCTGCAGTCCTTGTCCCGGTCCTGGTCCACCCGCAGGAACTGGGTCGGGAGAGAAAGAGCCCATCAGGGGCGCCTGGGCCAGCCCCCAACACGGGCGAATCCCCACCCACGACGCACGCGAGCTGACCACTGGGCAGACCCAAGGCTCACAGGACACCGCTTCTCCTCCTCCCCCTCCTCCTCCTACTACTTCTCCTTCTCCTCCTCCTCCTGCTCCTCCTCTTCCTCCTCCCCCTCCTCCTTCTCCTGTTCCTCCTTCTCCATCTCCTCCTCCTCCTGCTGCTCTTCCTCCTCCTCCATCTCCTCCTCCTCCTCCTCCATGTCCTCCCCCTGCTCCTCCTCTTCCTCCTCCCCCTCCTCCTTCTCCTCCCCCTTCTCCTTCTCCTCCCCCTTCTCCTTCTCCTCCTCCTGCTCCTCCTCCTCCTCCTGCTGCTACTCTTCCTCCTCCTCCATCTCCTTCTCCTCCTCCATGTTCTCCTCCTGCTCCTCCTGCCCCTCCTCCCCCTCCTCCTCCTTTCCAGAGGCACGAGTGTTGCCCAGCGGGATGACGTTGACCCTGCTGTAGCACCCAAGCGTGGACACGCATCAGCGTGCTATGGGCAGAGGAGACAGGGTTGGGGCCAACTCCGGGGACACCACAGCGGTGCCGTCTCTGAGGCTCTCTGGGCGCTCAGCACCGGCACCCAGCCCCAACCTTGCCCCCTGGCTCCGGGCACCTGCCTGGTCCCTTGCTGCTCCCTCAAGGATGGAGAACGTGGCCGAGGGCAGCCTGGCGGTCCTGGGCGGGGATGGGCCATCCGCCACTGGCCGCATCTACCCAACCCCCTCCCTGGACCCTGGTCTGTCTGGGCCGAGGGGGTGGCAGGGCTGCCCACCTCATGCAGGCATGTGCATGATTGTGGCGGTAACATGGCCTCGGCTCGGATTCCCAAGGACACCGCCGTCCCCTGCCTGGGGTCCTAGGCGGCATGGGGGCCGGCAGCAGGACTCACGGTGGAGGACACGTGCCGGCCGTGCCCCCAGCCTGCCCGGCCTCACCTCAGCCCCGGGACAGCCTGCCGCCTCTCGCCCCAGAAGACCCTCGTGGAAAGGATGCCTGTGGCCTGTGTCCCAGCAAAGGACCCCGCGTCCTGCAGGCTGGCTGGGACGGCTCGCAACTGTGGACACAGAGCACCAGCTGCGTGAGCTGGCCACAGGCCGTGTGGGCAGAACCAAGAAAAAGTGGGCCCTGAAGCAGGCCCTGCGCACTGACCGCTCGGCACCCGGAGTCCCGGGGCTGCCCCTACGTGGGAGCCGCACGCCTCACCCACCCCCACCCCCAGGGAGGTCCAGGCCTGGCCGGCCCCTGCTCGCGGAGTCTGTCTCATGTGGGGGCATGTGCAGGCCTGGAGGAGGCTCTTCTAGCGAGCGGCTCGGGCAAACATCAGGGCAGAGGGTCCTGGGGATCCCGACATATCACCCAACCAGTCTGAGGCATGAGAACCACAGTGAGGGCCAGGCCAGGCCCCAGCCGAGTCACCGGCACCGCTCAGGCCCAAGAGTCCAGGGCTGGGCCCGTCCAGGTGAGGCTCGAAAATGTTCGTGTCACCACACACGTGTGCACATACGTTACACATGAGCCCACACACACGTGTCGTGTGCATATGTGGCTCTTCGTGCATGCACACGTAGATACATTTCTGCATGCATACACTATGAGCACACTCACGTGCACACGTGCATGTTCACTGGAACAGGCGTGCACACGGTCGCGAGTGTGCACGCCTCTCGGTAAGGCAGTGTCTTGTGCAGGCATGCATGTGTGCGTGCACAGACGCTCAGGCACTGTGTGTGCAGGGCTGGGCACGGCCCCTGCCTGGAGCGCGTCTCCCAGCCCGCGTGCATGTGGCAGATTCCTCGCATTTTTACCGTCTCTGTTTACCTTGAGAGATAGCGGAGCCAGGCTCTGCAGGGGGAGGTGGCCCCTGCCTCGGTCAGGGCTGTCTCCGGCGTGGGATGGCCCCGGAGGGGGCTCTGGGGGCCACTCTGTGCTCCCTCAGCCCCACCTCCCGCCAGGCGGGAAGCCCAGGGGTCTGTGGTGCTTTTCTCGGCGTGGAGCCCGGGAGAACGGCCAGGCAGCTGTGGGATAAGGGGACGCCCAGGCCCGCTGCCCTCCCGGCCCCCACCCAACCGCCCACCCCCTCAGTCCTTCACCAGGAGGAAATGGGGAAGCAGGACCCTTGGGGCTGGGACCCTCCAGGCATGACCCACAGGCTGCTCCAGGCCCACGAGGTGCGTCCAGGCACCCGCCAGCCTCTGCGCCAGCATGCCACACCCACACAGCCCCCCAGGCGCCCACATGCCCCATGGCACGATTCCACCGATAGCTGGACTCAGACCCATCCCTGGCCCCAAGGCCAAGAGCAGTGACCCCCACACTCACGGAAATCCACACACGTGCTCAGGGCAGCACTCAGCCGTCCTCACTGGGCGGCACTCGACCGTCCCTCCCACGGCAGTGCTCAGCCGTCCGTGCTCAGACTCGGGGGGAACCAGGGAACACAACAGCCATGATCCAGGTGGCACAGTGGGGGACAGCACCCAGGCACCACCCAAGCTGCCCCGAGGGGTGAGGGAGCTGGGGGTGGGGGGCACAGGGTCCACGTGTCCTTCCCGTGCCCTGGGCATCAGTCAACCGCACTCTTCAGCACCCTGTCCATGAGGCCCAGGGTGCATGGGAGCCTTCGCGGTGAGTCGCCCCTTGGGTGAATTTGTGCCCGTGAAGCCATCTCCCTCAGAGCCTGTGACTTTCTCGGCACCTGCAGAGAACTGGGGAGCAACTCTCGATTCAGCGATGGCTGTGGTTGCACACCGGAACCAGCACCAGAACCGGACCCGTGATTGCACATGGGGACCAGCACCAGAACCAGACCTGTGACTGCACACTGGAACCAGAACCAGAACCGAATCTGGGATTGCACACCAGAACCAGCACCAGTACTGGACCTGTGACTGCACACCGAAATAGCACCAGAACCAGACCTGTGAATTGCACATGGAAACCAGCACCAGAACCGGACCCATGATTGCACATGGGCACAAGCACCAGAACCAGACCTGTGACTGCACACGGAAACAGCACCAGAACCAGACCTGTGACTGCACACGGAAACAGCACCAGAACCAGACCTGTGACTGCACACGGAAACAGCACCAGAACCAGACCTGTGACTGCACACGGAAACGCACCAGAACCAGACCTGTGACTGCACGCAAGAACAAGCACCAGAACCGGACCACCCGGAGGAGGCCCAATCTAATGAGCTCAGGACCAGCCTTGCACTACAGGGAGGTTTCGGTTCCCCAAGAGCGTACCGAGGGCGGAGGGCCCCAGATCACGGCTGCAGTCACTGCCCTCAGCTCAGTTTGTCCCTGGAGGACCCCAGGGCCCGCTGCCAGGCCCGCCCAGAGTCCAGGCCCCGTCCAACTGTCTCTGGCAAGCTTCCCAGGATGGTGTCTCTGAAGGTGCGGAAATGAAATCATCAAATTGACTCCAAGGCCTCTCTGGGAGACCCCCTCCTCGGCGAGGCGCCTCTGAGGGCCAGGGGGGAACAGTGCAAGTCTTAGGAGCCTCAGAAGCGAACCGCAGGCCCCAGGCAGGCACCGCAGCCACCCTCCCCCACAGGTACACCGGCGAGGTGGGTGTCGCCTTTGGGGCAACCACAGTGACTTGCCCCTTTCCCGGCATTTTGGACTCACAGCTCAGCCTCCATTGCCCAATTCTGACGGGGACAGCCTGGCTATCCCAGTCTCATTAGGCCAATAGTCCACTAGCCTATTCCAATCAAAATACGCCCAAAACTCACCAAAATAACAGTGAACACAAGAATCTGGACAAGCCTAATGCAAAAGGACACATCTCCTGCAGCTGCACATGTGGCCTCACATAAGGGACAGAGGAGCACCAGAGAGGGAGTATCGCTAAAAGGGATAAAGGAGACCACCACTGACCAAGCCCCTCTAGAATCCTCCCTTGCAGTGAGACCAGCACCAGAACCAGACCTGTGATTGCACAGTGATACCAGCTCCAGAACCGGATCTGTGATTCCACACCAGAACCAGCACCGGTACCGGCTCACAGTACTGATAGTGAACTGGAGGGACCAACCCGCATACTACCACAGCAACAGCGCAGATCCCCCCACGAGGAGTGGATGAAGAAAAGAGCCCTGAAGCCTCATCGGGAAATCCCCACAAATATAATCTCTCCAACAAAGAATTCAGAGATGAAATGTTGAGGATGTTCAATGAACTCAAAGACACAGTGGAATAGGCATCCAGTAAATTAAAGGATATGAGAGAAACAGTGGAACAGACAGCCAACAAAATACAGGAAGAAATGAGAGAGAAATAAGAAAGCTACAAACAGAAGAGTCACTAATAAAGGTTTTGGGAGATGAAATTAAAAACTCAATGGGCGCCCTCAACAGTAGAACGACTACAGAGGAAGACAGAATCGGTGAGCTTGAAGATGATCTGAAGAAAGCTTTCAGGCAACAACAAACAATGGGAAAAGACCTCAAAATAGCTCTAGGGAGAATCAGAGTCCTAGGGGATGATGCCAAGAGGAACAACATTAGAATAATTGTAGTACCAGAAGGACAGGGAGGCAACCCCAACGAAGTAGCAACAGTTAAAGATATCATCACTGAGATGCTTCCAGAGCTGGAGAATGGGGGCATCCAGATACAAGGAGCCCGAAGGGTGCTGGCTAAAAGAGACCAAATAAAAAGACTCCAAGACACATCATAATCAGAACGCACAAATACCACAGAGACACAATACTGCAACCATCAAAGAAGGAAATCCCATACAAAGAAGCACCTCTTGGATTTCAGTAGACCTTTCAGAGGAAACTGTCTGAGCCCAAAGACAATGATGGGATCTAGTGGGAAAAACTCGATGAAATGAACCCCTCACCAAGAATACTTTATCCCACTGAACTCTCACTCAAACTCGAAGGAACAATACACTATTTCATGGATAAACAACAGCTCAGG